AGTTGTTCATTCGTGAAATGCATTCTAGCAGTTGTCAGTATGTAAATAATACATTTCACTGTCTATGCAAACATACAAAACTGCTTGTGTGCCAGAACCACATTTTATATAGGACCGGTCACCCTACACATGAACTGTTTTTAAGTGTAAGACGCCTGTAAGCGCAAACAAAGTCTTCTAAAGGCCTGTTAACGTTCTACATTTGAATTACAGTATGAACAGGATCCTCTGTTCAGACATGCACAGATTCTCATACACAAAACCTCATTAGCTTCAGACTGCTATTAAAAACAAAAGATAAGAAAATACACAAACCTCCATAACATTTTGTGTCACCTTTGACTTATGATGTGGCTGTGTTGCTGCTATCCATTATGCATGTTTGTGGAGACGCCCTTACAAGAGCTGTTATGACTGCAGTCTCATGCTGTGGAGAGAGTGAGGCTGCATGTCTGACAGACACATAGGAATGATCCTCTCATCATACCCACCGCTGCATTTGTGTCTCCACAATAAATAGATAGGGTGCGTCAAGGAGAATATTCTGTAAACGATGACAAATAAATCAATATTCCTGTATAATATTGCACAAACAAACTAACCAAGCGAGACGGTTCTGATTCGCATAGACGGAGCAATTATAATACACATTGATTGGTCATTGCATTCAGATGATTTAAGATGGGTGGTGGTGGAGGTGCTAGAAGGGCAAATGAATAAGCAGAGATAATGCATGTAGTACAACCAGCCATAAATAAGGAATGCCCTCTCCTCACCTGGTTCTGCTTTGCGTGTATGTAGATCTAATCTCTCACTTCCTGGAGTAGTGAGTAAAAGATTAGATCCATCTGGTGCCCCAAGCTTAAAGGTCTTCCGACTAGCCTAAACTTTGTATCTATTGGAAGTCACGGTTCTTTATTTGTCATGTTGTGTGTTTATACAGGGAGTGTATTGTAAATTTAGGCCAGTCCGAGACATTCTGTAAACCATTCATTAGATTGTGCTCGGCCCTTTATAAACGTTGCCTACCCTGGGCCTCTCTCTCCCTGTCAGGAAAGTGCTGGGTGATGGATAACTCTCTCGGCTAAGAGGCAGCCCTGGGATTTACAGGGACACACTATCAGACACAAGGTTTCCAGCGGAGGCTAGGCACGGCGAGGCAGTCGTGTTAAAAAGTCAACATAATGGATAGCACCTAAGGAGTGTGGTACAAGAGGATGAGATGGCAACGATCTGGCTATTTATCATTAGCCTGGAGGAAAGCTGACCAAACTGGACACCTCCTGTCACGCCACCATCTCTGTGGAAGCAAACTGTGGTCAGCATTTCAGTGTTGCCAGAATTCTCACTTTATTAAACTTTAATTGACTAAATGACTCCCAAAGTCATGCTTAAAGGAATAGTTCACCTAAAAATGACGAAACCAAAATTACAACATAGGTTGATTAAAAACGTGCCTATAACTCCAAAAAACAAACAAACAAACGTATACATACAATTCAATGCAGTTTCACGGCATTTTCACACAAATTATGATTACATGGGCAGATCATTACTAACCTATTTTATGTTATAACCTCAAAACACTTTTACCATGCATGATTGTTAAACTAATAAATTTTGACATTTGCATCACATAACAAGCTCCACATGTATGGCTCTTCTGAAGTAGTAAATTTGCTCAGTAGCTCGCCTAGTAAAGTGCACACTGCACTAGGGTACAGGTCCTGTGAAACACGAGTTGCAATAAGAGCTCAAAGACTTGCCGAAGCATGCTAAAATGGCATGGTTGCTGCAGCAAATGTGTTTTTATGTCACGTTTGCTTTTGTTAACTCTATTGGTTAAGTTTAGTGTAGGTGGTACTTTATATGATGTACAATATATGTACAATAACCACCAGCCAACAGCCAGATTCATGGTCATCTGTTTCAAAGAATATTTCAAAGCAGTTTTAGCGCCACTTACTTGAACATTTCAATTTGTCTATGAAAGTGCCAAACGTGCAAGAAGGAACATGATAATATTTTGCAGAAATGTCGCGGGGGTTTACACTCACCTCTATGACTTTCCTCTGTGGAACAGAAAAGAACATATTTTGAAAAACAGTTTTTATCTATACAATGAAATCAAAACAACACTGGACCCGTTGTCTTTCATTGTATGGACAAATACCAGACACCCGTCACCTGTGTTCCACAGAAACAAGAAAGTCATACAGTTAAGGAACAACATAAGGGTGAGTAAATGATGACAGAATTTTCACCTTTGGATGAACTATCCCTTTATGGGTTCGAGGTCTTCAAATAAGACTTGGTATCGTGAGAAACATCTATTGGAAAATTACTTCCTGACTTGCTTGTCATTAGATAGTGAACCTGGAAGAAATTATGTCGGTGAGAAGGAGGCCCACTATCAGCACCATCAGATCTAATGCAATAAGGAGGCTAGAGCGTTTTCATCCCTGAGTGGGTCTGGTAAACAAGCAGCAAGTTAGGGGAAGATCCCATCAGCATATGCCATCTATTATAGTATATCCACGGTTATTGCTCTTGTCACTTTGTATTCGCCACAGCGTGGAAAGATACAGCCCGCAGAGTAACAAGGAGCTACGCAGATTGAGAAGAAGCCAAGAGTCGTAAAACAGACAATGGAGTGATTCTGAGTGCTTAAAATAGACCTCCATCTTCATCAGTCCAATGCATGTCTTGAGTTAATTCATAAACGCTGTTCTCATCACTACCAGAGATTATTTTTAGCAGCCTTCTTCTTGTTTGTGGCCTAGGATGACAGTTTTCTGAGAGATTTGCTCCCCTCAAAGCAAAGCGGGCAGCAAATGCTGCCTGTCAGATGGTGATGGCAGGAAACAACATAACTGTGTCATATACGGAGAGGTTTATGACAGACGCCGATAGAAGAGCTGCAGTGATGTGCTGTGTTCAGCTCAGCCAGGTGTAATTACAGCCTCTTCTGCCTGCCTGGCCAAAAACATTGTCTTTTTGCCCCTCAGAGAGATTTCAAGACTTTTCCTCACGCTAGGTGAACAATACGTTGGGCTGAGTGATTATGGTACTGGAAAAGCAAAAAAGACTTCTCAAAGCTGAACCTGAGTGTTTTAAAGGGGACATTTCTGATCACATGAAGCCTTTTTACCATGTTAAACCCTTCATATTATTACTTTTTACCATGTTAAACCCTTCATATTATTAAAAAAAAAAATTTGAATGCAGACAGAATGTGTAAACTTGCTTCATTCATTTCTGGAGAAATAACAGGAGGATAATGCTCAGATTAGCAGGCCAGGTGGAAAGATGGGTTTTAGTGTGGTTTCCTTCTTTCATGAGACGCTGAAATATGCAATGAAGTCTTTCTGTGGGGCAAATGAATTAGTCCACTGTTTGGCAAATTAGTCTGCTGTGAACGTGTAACGTGTCAGCTAAAGGCAATTAGTTTGTAAATGTAATTTGAGCTGTCAGGAATTTAAAAATATAGTTTGAGGATATTTAACTCATAAGCAGACTTACAGGCAACGTGTTTAGCCTCACGTCGTCCAGTCACTACACATTCTGTATGATTTCAAGGCTGTATGATTAGCAACTCAAATCATATGGCGTTAGCTGCTTGTTGTGAATTAAAAACAGATTGTCATGAAGAGAAGACAAGAAAACGGCAATTATTTGTACAAACCAGATATCTAGAAGGTCTAATATCAAGCTCATTCTCACAGTAACTTTTTGTTTAATTTACAACAATTGCTTGTGTTATGATATTTTCCAACAAAAAAAGCTGTTCCCTGTAGACTTCTTAATATAGGTTGTCTGTCACTCCCCACGGAGATGTTAGGAATGTCTTGACCCAATGAGAGTAATCTCATTCAAGTTCTTGCTGGGAAAAGGTTAATGGGATTCTATGTTTACTCTGTAGGATAGGCATTTGTTGAGCTCTCACTGAAAGATTCCTTTTTTAAGACATTTCTGGCGGCGTTTTTTTGCATGCGTTGGAGTTAAAGACAAACATAGATAAAAAGGTTAAGACAGAAAGACTTATGCATAAAAGGAAGATGAATTTAGAAGAACCGTATGAATAATCTTCATGCGCTTCAGCGGAAAGAGGATAGCATGGTATGTATTGTGTATAGTATGGAATGAAGGATTGGAGAGCAGTGGCCTGAAACGGAAAACATAACTGATGATTGACCAAGCACGTTTACCCATTCATAATGTGGGAAAAGACAGGTCTAATTGATTCTAGCTTCTGTCATTAGGAAGACTGGGAACTTTCCGATGGAAAGACATCCAATCCCTACGATGCACTCAAACAAAACACCCTCATAAAGCCAATTCAAGACTTGAATGGGAGATCAGTGACATCAGATAGTGCTGCGCAGATCAAGGTCTCCCCAAAACCTCCCAGAATGTTTGCTCTCTCCGGAGGACTTTGTTTGATTTTTCTGAAGAGGTGAGAGGTTAGGGACGCACAGATGTGGATCAAGCTGTGGATATGAGACGGGCTTAAAGGATCTACTCACACTTATTGAGAGATGACTGGAAACATCTGAGCACACTCACAATCGAGCAGTGTAGTGCACACAGACGCACAGACAAAATATGTGGCCAGGACAAGTGTCTTCCCAGTGTTTTTGAGACAGACACTTCTCACATGATGTGAGAAGTTCAAAGATTTGTATGTAAACAGTGCGTGTGACTGCTGAGGGACTTTCTTTGGATATATGGTAGTTGTTGCTGCAATACATTATTTTACTGATGTTTCTTAAAGGTGAAATGTGTATTTTTTACTTATCCTATCTCAAATTAATATTCAATATAAATTATTTATGTTACAATATTTTGTTTTATATCAACTTAAACTGTAAGACAATGGCTCAGCCAATGGTGTGATTTGGGGGAGGGTTTGTTTGGAAACATTGTTTTTTGCAATTCAGTTACACACTTCACCTTTAACCAAAGTGAATATTTTATGTCAGGTTTCATAATTCACATACCCTCTTTCTGTCCGCAGGTCCAATGGCCTCCACCGAGCATAGCAAAGAGCTGGAGGAGGTGGGCAGCATGAGGACTCCTTTGCGGCAGAATTCCGCTCGAGCCGGCCGGAGCCAAAGACCTTCTGGTTGGAGGAGGAGACGCCCTCGACCCCGCCTCTCCCATAAGGGGCCCATGCCATTTTAGAGCAAGGTCAGTTTGACATTACCAATGCAATAGCCTGAAAGCAAAAATAAGAGCCCAACAGAATATGAGTAACTAATACGAGGGGTTAAAAACAATAATCGAATCAAATTGAAGCAGCACCTGTCTCAATTTCTGAAGTTTCGTTGAGTGCATACTGAGAAAGGCTGGGAATGCTGGAGAAAAACATGAGGAAAGGGAGACTGTGATTGACAGAAACCTGCTTGCTCATTCACTTCTTCCATGAATTATAGATTACTACTGGCACAGAAATACTGCATGTCTTTATGAGATTACAGGACTTTAGACTGCTGGGCTTTTGTGGTCCCAATCTCCTCCAACAGATATACAAAACCCATAAAGAGTGGAATATAATACATTGTCAATGTTGTATTATATCCGAGTCAACATGATTCCGTTATCCTAATAATGCCAATTAAATTCCCTATCCAAAGATAATACTTCTGAATCTCATTTGAACCGCTTCAGCTTGTTTTTCACATAAAAAGGATATTTAACTTAACGTCTAGATAAACAATTCCTCAGGCAAGCACTTTAATCTTTTTGTCTAATAAAAGTGTTTTCTCTTCCTAAACATTGTCTCCATGAAATTTCCAGTGTTGTAGCACCAAAACCTTTATTTTAATATGGACTCTATTAAGGAAACATTCAAGTTACTATGTCAATAAATAAAAGAGAACAGTATCTGACAAATATCAGCACATCAACACATTTACATTTTATTACTTATAATCTTTGCACTAAAATGCTGACACACAGTTTTGTGGTTTTTAAAAAAAGGAAGAATGGATAAAAAAAATCTGTGGATGGCAGAGAGATAGGGACTCATTCACAGCTTTTTTTACAGTCTGCACAGTAAGATGTCTGAACAGAGTACAATGTCCCTACAGGAGGCCACAACACAAGTCTCGCCATAAATTAACCTCATATAAGACCAGAATCTATCGAGAAGGACAAGTCAGCTCTTTATGGCATAGTTAATCATGAGACATGAGGGCAATAAAAAGTGAGAAATCCCAAACCCACCACAGTTTTACTATCTATAGCGAATTACATTTTTCCCTTTTGGCAAACAATTCCTATTCATATGTTTCATCAATCCAAGGGAAAACACCATCTTAACATCCACAGAGGTAGACACAAAGAGCAAGGCCTATGCATGCACTCCCATCCCGGCCAATAAAACGCACAGGTCCTTTGAGTGAGTTGGGCAGTCAATGCTTGTTTTGATCCCCAGCATACTGGCAGCACAAAGAGGGGAGCTGCAGGAAGTTGTGTAGCTCCATTAAATGGAACGGCTCAGTGACTCACAATGTAGAGTCCACAAACAGCACTTCAACCCCAAACAAGACGAAGATTTTTCTTTCATTCGGCTACTTTTTCAGCTCCCTTCATGCCGTACGAGGGTTCAAAGTTCACGTCTTTTAGCGCATTCACCCACATTCCTTTGGGCCCAGTCTGTTAAACCAGTCCATTTGAGGCACCTAATCAAGCCTGTGGTACCAAACCCCAAAAATTTTCTCTTAATTCACTCACAGTTCATTATTTCCAAAGTGTGATAGATATTCATTTCCTTTACAGACATTTTATGGCTAAAGAGAACATGTTGTGATAATTACTGTATGGCACTGTACAGTAAATCAGTCCATGGCCCAGATGGGACTCCCACTAAAGTGTTTGACCTGCATCTGGCTAGTGTACAACATCTCACATTTTGTGCAGTGTGAGAAACGTAGCCTCACACTTCATCATCTATGGCTAAAACGGGGCACAGACTGACCGGGGCAATTAACTCTCCTCAAGGGCTGATAACAGACCGAGAACCACCGAACAAGGCCACAGTGGAGGCACTTGAAAGGCTTTCTCTCTTTTTTCATTACACTGCACCACCTTGCCTGCAGATGAGAAGGATGTCTTCATTAAAAGCTTGATCGACTGCATCTTTTCATACAAGAGTACAAAGGAAATCATTGCTAGTGTAGAATCGAGAACACCAAGGGGACGACTTGGAATTAGACTGACTTGTATGAATAAGTTTTGATAATAACGTTCTAGAAAAATAAAAAAATTCAATAAAACACTATCTTGACAGTTTCCTTAAAGGAATATAAAGAGTTCACAGTTGAAGAAATAGTTCACCCAAAAATGAAAATTTTGTCATCATTTACTCACCCTCATGTCGTTCCAAACCTGTAGTTTCTTTCTTATGTTTAATATAAAAGAAGTTATTTTGAACAATTTTGAAGAACCAAACAGTTCATGGTCCCCAATGACTTCCATAATAGGGAAAGGAATACTATGGAAGTCAATGGGGACCATCAACTGTTTGATTACCAGCATTACTCAAAATATCTTCAACATGAGAAAGAAACTGATACAGGTTTGGAACGACATGAGGGTGAGTAAATGATAACAATTTTCATTTTTGCATGAACAATTACTTTAAGCTCAGTCAACACCATTTATGACAATTTTTGTTTTCTTTTTTTTAAATGATTATAATATATATAATTTAAAACTATACATTTTTCTGTTAAAACATGCACATGATTTAAGCTATAAACTTGTTCTTGTAATTTTTATGATCATTTAATGATTCTAGGCACTATGTTGTCCTGGCAATGAACTGTCGTTAAGTTGTATATACGGAAATAGTAAACAAATTTCTTTTTTCACACTGAAATCTTGTTAACACACATACTGTTTACGTCTTTTGGTTATACCATTACAACACTGAGTATATTAGCATTTACAGATTGGCCCTATTAACTTCAGTTGTAAATTATCACTGTAATGTTTATGTTTATTTTTAAACAAAAGAAGGAAAAAGTCATTTTTGCGGTAAATTAACATTATGCCACAAGTGCTGTTGATTGAGCTTAACTTGCCCGTATATGACCGACCAGTCTAACTAAACAACATGTTGGACAAGGCTTCCTCATTGTGAATGCTCTAGGAAGTAAACTGAAAAGGAGGTTAAAAGCTCAGCTGAAGATTATGAGAACTGAAGGTTGTGGTAATGGAACACAAGCAACACAAGAATGAACAACCCGTTACAAGATCCAGATGCCACAACATATAAGAGGAACAGCACATGTTGAGGGACCTCCTCTTCAAAGACTTCCTAGCACAAAGGCACTGCACTGCAGAGAGCTAGAAATTGGAAATATGCCTCATTCAGTACCAAGGGGCACACTGCATGATTAGAAAGCAACTGCCTGACACAAAGTTCCTCTTTTAAAGTGCCCGCAGCTCGCTGTTGTTAGTATATTCTGACAACTGACATGATGTCATACAGCACAAACAAATACAGTAAACATGAGTAACAAACAAAACATGGTTTAGATAAGAATCTCTGGTGCTGCACTGTACATGACTCAAATGCACCACTATGCAGGTGTAAGAAAAAAAGTAAAAAGATGGTTCTTATCGTTCAGTGGGCACTGTTGTACCGGAAGAATGAAGCTCATTGACATCTAAAGCTATCTGTAATCATTGTGAAGTCATGAAACAAACACTAAAAGATGACCTCACTGGTTTACATAGATTCCTTGCTCAAAGTAAAGTGCAAGAACAGAATTCTAGCTAGTTGCGCTCTAAATGCATAAATCTTATCAGTTTATAAAAGCAGAATACTAATAATCATGGAACCTCATAAGTGACAGACTTGACACTGCAAATCATTTCAGCAGTTTTGCATTAGCATTTTGCTGAACTAAAAGTGTGATAGCTTAAAGGGATAGTTCAGCCAAAAATGTTGTTCTAAATCTGTAAAACTTTTTTTGTTCTCTGGAACATTTAAAGATATTTTAAAGAATGTTGGTCACCAATGTCAGTTCCTATTGATTTCCATTATATGGACAAAAAAATACAATAGAAGTCAATGGGAACCAAAACTTTTTGGTTACCAATATTCTTCTAAATATCTTTTTTTGTGTTCAACAAAAGTAAGAAATGCATACAGTTTTGGAACACCATGAGGGTGAATAAATCATGACTGAATTTTCATTTTTGGGTGGACTATAGTACAGGACACAAATATTGGGTAAAATATTATATTTTACTTAGACTGAACTATTTTTATGGATATCTTTGAATACCGAATGAAACATTTCACTCGCCTTGTCTGCCATTTTGGATTTTTTCCCCCCACATTTTTCAGCTTGTCCCAATGGATTATTATCCCAGTTGCCTTCACCAATTTTGCTAGCAATTTTGTAGTTAGTTTACCAAAAAACAAAAATTATCTCACCCTTTACTCACCCTTACATCATTCCAAGCCTGCACTGTCTTGTAGATATTTAAAATATATCCGGGGGTTTTTTCCACAAAAAAACACTGAAAGTCAATGGGGTCCAATGTTGCTGTTGTAGTTGTTGTTGTTTTTTAATCTGAATGCACAATTATGATCCATGATGTTTTTGAGTAGCCTTTAGGATTATTAAACATTTAATGACTTGCTCTTTTTTAGCTGTTATGTTCAGTACCTGTGCCAATTAGTAAAACCACAGAAAAACACTGTTGGTTCCTGCATTGTACCTTATTCATGTGTCTTTTCTTTTGTCCACAGGCACAGCTTAGAGTGCCCTCCCCCTTGGTTCTGATTTCTATGCTCTTCCTTTGCCTTGGGGGGCCTTGCAACAAGGGGCCTTTGCTAGCCCAGCCTGAAGAGTGATGTCCATAGCACCTGCTGGTTCTTCAAGCAACTCTTCTTCTGTCCACAAAAAAACCAGGACAAGCCACTCACCCTCAGCTCTATGAAGAATTGTGGGCCGGGAACGGGGGTGGGGGGCATTGAGCCCGAGCTATCAGATTCTGTCTCTCTCTGTCTGTCTCTCTCCTCCTGTGGTTTTCCTCATTTGCTTTCTAGAGTCCTTTCATGGCCACACTTTGCATGATGTGTGAGCAGTGGGGAGCCTGGTCTAAACAGTTATAGTCCGAAAGCGTCAGTTTCTTCTCCGAGGTGTGCTAGTCCCATTCTCTCCAGTGTGTAGGTGACCACAGCGCTTTGACCCATTGCTAGGTGTTGGCAACTCTTGGCTTATAAATGGCGTTTATAAGGGAAGAAAGTGGCAGGGAATCTAACGTAAAGGCAAAAATGCTCAGGCCCATTATGGCCAGGCCAGCAATGTAAATTTTTTACATCTTACACAATTTACCATCTACCTACAGCAAAAATTGGCCAGTTAGCTTAATAACGGCATCACTGAGTGCATTTACATGGCAAACTGCTCACAAATGCAATGATCAAAAATTTTTTCTTATAAAATCCTGACAAAAAAATATTTCTTAATGAGATCAATTCTGTTTAACTCATCAAGTTTTGGCGCCAAAATGTATGCACATTGTATAAGCATCCAGAATGCTGATTGTAATGTAAATGCAATCAATGTTATCGGGTTCAGTTATAATTACTGATTACATAATTACGTCTAAAAATGTTGAATGACTATATAATTCATTGGCACATCTATTTAAAACAGCTTGATTACATCTCATAGTGCTGTCCAACGGTCATTATACATCATCCTACCAATGAGCCTAAGAGTTGTCAGCCATCTGAAGCTTAAGGATAAAGCCACAGTGTCTCATTATCAAAAATCACACTCCACTTCCATGAGCGAGAGATCATCGTCCTGAGCCCTCTTCTCCTCCCCCATGACACACGCTGCTTTACAGCAGAGATACATGACTGTTAACTGGCCAGGGTGATCTGCTTCACATGGCGGACCATCTCTCTTTTTAATGAAGTGCCAAATAGCAAATCTACTCCACAGTGCTGCCAGGAGAAGAAAAGTAAACATGTTACCTCTTATCTTGGGGGAAGCATAACATCTAAACATATGTACGCATTTTGCCATTTGTTTGAACACCCAATGTAAAGGCAACGGTAGCATGGTTTCAAGACATTAGACCAAAAAAAAAAAAAAAAGAGAAAGAAAGAAATTTTCTTTACAGATCTGATGATTTTCCCCTTGACTGGATTCTTTGACAGAACTCTATGCCTTTATTTGACATCATACTGGAAATGATTTCTCATTCTTTTGTTGTTATTTTTGTTATATTTCAGTTCATTTCTCAGGGTGCTGTGACACAAGCCTGTATGGTCTATATTACATGCATTTATTTAAGAAACACACATTATTTGTATTCACACCATTTAACTTCATGCTTAAATATCCACCACTTTTTAGCTACATATCCAGACTACGTTTTTACAAGCCATTACTGTTTTCTCCCCATTGGGAGCAGTTGCCTTTTGAGTTTGAGCCTCTTTGGCACAGGTGGCCACAGCCTGGTTATTAAACCCCATTGCTAATCGGTTTTAAATTGGAATCACTAAAATCTCTTTCAAGTCCGATAGAGCTCACAAGACAAACTGGCATAGAATGACCACACCACCTTAGCGTTCAACCGATTTATGATGTAATAATCTACAAAAATGAGCAACTCTTGGCTTAGGCATCGTCAAACCTTTCAGTAAGACACAAATTATGAGGCTGAGATGAGACTGTTAGCCACACTCATAATTCCGATGCTTAATTAGACAATGCAGCAAGTTATTGCAAATTAGCATTTGAGTCCCATCCCCATTTCCTGTTAGGCGTTTCCCTGTGGTTACGAAAAGAGAGTCGTCGCGTATATCCACTAACATCACCTCGCGGCAAAGTCAGCTCTTCATAAGAGAGTGCCTAAAAACCTATATCGGTAAAACACCCAGCCAAGCTCACCTAGATTAAAAATTTATCGAATCTTAGGGCACTGTGCATACTAATAATTCCAGTCACGCCATGATTATTTTATACCCTCTCAGACAGAGATGTGGATTTTATTAACGGTTTCTCAGAATGATAGTGCAGTAGATCAGAACGCAGAGAAGTTCCAAGTTTGGGCGGCTGAGTTGCAGTACACTTCATCTGAAGAGTCTGTTAGAGGTGCGGAGTAATGCCTGTATCCATACTGTTGTTCATGAATGTATCTTCACCATCCTCACCAGAGCTGAGCCGAGGGCCATCGAGCAGTGTTTCAGTTCAGTTCAAGCCTTGAATCTTGAAAAACTAGCCCCCTTCCCACCGATGGAGATGGTTATCGTTTCATCAAACATCCAAAGACAAATATGACAAAATCCAAAGCTTGCTATAGCAGAGACCCCTATCAATCACTTGGCTTTCCTCCAACACCTCTCTGTATGGACATGCAAGGCTGCACTTTTGCAATTCCATTATGCTGCTGGAAAAGTAAATCCCGAAAACAAGTCTTTTGGCATGTAATGGTTTTCCAGTGTCTTGTGACAATTAAATTGACTGATTCTTGTCTAGCTGGTTGTCCAAAGCCTACTTTTCGATAGAGTGTGGAAAGCTGTATTTTATTTTTGTGTGTATGGCCGTATAAAAGTGTAGAAAATATAGTCTGCTGCACAATAGGTCATGGACACAAAAGAGATTTCTCACCCTCCTCTGCCGTCAAACCTGGGCCGTCGTCCCCGTCAGCACATCAGGTTAATGGAGCCTGTGGTGTCAAGAGAACAAGCATGTCCAGACTCAAAACTGAAATGGCAAACACACACATTACTCTTACAGAGCACAAATCACTTTCTATAAATGTTTTTTTTTTCTCTCACATGAGAAACTCATTCTTACTTGATCACGTGTTTCTGCCCATCATAAGTCCTACGCACTTGTACGCACGTTCCACATAATCATTCAGAGGTCTTTAGTTTAAGTACAGACCTTTGCATGGGAGAAAGGGATCCAGAAGCTATTTGTATGTTAAAAACAGAGCTGTGATTATTGATGCGTTCCCCTCGGGTCTTAATCGACGTATAAAAGCAAAGGATACAATACAAAAAAATCCTCTTTGTCCTTGTGATTCATTGCAAGACATTCATTAGCGGACACTGTTCTGCTTTCATATTTGACACAGAAAGAGAAAACGCCCATTTGGCCGCTTGTTTTCCATTAGCTCGTCACGGTGCATGTAAAATGTGGTGACCAGATCGAGTAACTGAAATCCAATCCCAGCAGTTCACCAACTGGTTGGGACGCTAAGAATGATCCGATTATTCTGTTGCTTCGAACAAGACTTCACACCCATAAAGAGCTCTAACCTCTATCCAAAACACGCATCCATACTCATGGCCTGTTTGTTCAGCACACCCATCCATTTCAATTCTCAAAATCTGTAGTCAGGCCTGGCATTTCAACAGTATTAGTGGGCCACGTGAAAAGTAGCGTAACGGCAAGGTATTATTCCTCCTCTTTATTCCTGTTGGAGGTGTGTGCTCATCAAACTCACCTAGCCAAATGTACAGTCCCTGTCTCTGTTTTGATGTTGAACTGGGCAAAAACAAATGAATAAATAAATGAATTAAACAAGTGTATCAGAAATGGTTGAAATACTGTGTACATATTTGAACTTTTGGTTTCTAATTTATAAAAGATAAGCTTTAGCTCTTGGAGTACTTATTTTATTTTTTTCCTTTCATGCGTAGCTTTGTGTTTTTATTTTCTATTTCTGTAAAGTGTGTAAATATATCTTTATGATAATAAGTAATATTAAAAAATCTTATTTTAAGAAACAAGTGTGAGTTTGTCCTTTTTCTTCAAAAGATGCAACAAAAATCATGTAATTCATAATTATTTTTATCATGTTGAAAAAAAGATACATTTTCTACCCCATTATAATATTAACCCACGATAAGCTAAACAATTATGATCTAGTGATCACTACAGAAATCTTGATTGGATAGACTTGGATAGTGACCCAAAAAAATACAATTCTGTCATCATTTTCGTACCCTCATGCATGTGTAGGACTTTCTTTTTTGGGACACAAAAGAATAAAGCTTGAAACATGAATACATTAAAATAAAATGGTCCATTGTAGTTTTATACCACATTTATGTTCACTGTATTGACTGAAACATTCTTCAATAAAAAGAACAAAAGAATGGTTTATCATAATTATGACATAAAGAGTTAAAATTATGAGACGCATGAAAAGAAGTCAAAATTATGACAGTCATAATGATGACTTAGTATCTTAATTATCTCATAATTTCAACTTTTTGTCTCAGAATTACTTTTTATGACATAATTATGATTTATCAAAGCATGTTTTTTTCCATATATGGCCAAAATTTGCTTATATAAGACATGTACTCCTTTCTTTTTCTGTGGAACACACACAAAAAGACAATTTGTCCATAAAATGAAAGTCAGTGGGGTATAATGCTGTTTTGAACCCCAATGGCTTTCATTGTATTTGATGAAATTAATAACAGAAAATTGCCCCAGGAACATAAATCACCATCAAACGACAAATAATTTTGTGACTACTTCGTTATTTGACATAAAGCTTAAACTGAGGGAGAGAGAGAAAAAACAAGAAAAATCTATATATACATCAGAAAAAAGATCTATATGTTCTGTCTGCAGGCCATCATTGCTGCTCTGTCCATTGGGAGCAGCTCTGGGAAGTGTCTGCTTAGCATGGTGAGCTGACATGGCCTGACAGGCAGTAGGGTACCCCACGAGGTGATCGCACCCCGATCCGGAGAGGTTATGTCATCAAACCCGGGTCAGCTGTATAATTGGACCGGGGGTCAGTGAGGTGATATGGAGCGTGACAATGAAGCTCTAGTTACAGTGCAGATCTGGCTGGGGAGGCAGTTATGTACCCCAGACTGCTCAGAAATCAGCAAGGAGTCTGCTCACTCTCACTGCAATAAAAGGTGTCACCGATTCCCATTAAAAATAACTTATGGATTGAGTTGACAACCCTGGACCCATGAAGACGTAAAGACGTTTTAGTTATCACAGGGCCTTCTAAATGATGGAGAAAAAAAAGCTAAGATGTTACAACTTTAACTTCAAGCCAAGACACAGCAGTAACATCTGGTGCAGCCCTGGCAACAAGCCTCCGGTCTCTTCTGCCACACCATAAAAGCCTTATTATTACCTGTCTGTGTGAAAGCACCACCAGCGGTAATATCGGTGGGTGTTTTCTGCTTTCCAACTCAGTCACTTCTAATTAATCAGCCACACTGATACATAGTGAATCTGACAGCACGTTGTCAAATCACTGCCATTCCAAACGTCAAAACTGCAGAAAGAACAACATCACGTGCAATTTAGCACATTACAGCCTCCAAGAGCTGCCACTTGGACTCCTGCGCGGGGTCTGTGGCTGCACTGAAGTGGAAGGAAAACACAAGGGACTGCAAACAGAGCCTGGAGCCAGGTAAGGAGCAAGAACAACACAGGCCTAATGCACCTCAGCTGTGTTAACAGCAGCCATCCTGGGAAGGGGATGGATCATTGACGTGGACAAACTAAGTGTTGGGGGTGAGGGGGTTGTAGCGAGCCAGCAGGGAGCTGTGTAGGAGCGTCTGTTTCATTTTGAGAAGGTAGTCGGAGGCTTGAGTTCGGTTACTGCTCTAATCAGGGTGCCAAATTTTTGCGATTTGCTCAAAGAGCCCCCTGGGAAGGACCTACTCTGATGGACCGGTATAGGAGAAGGTGAGTGGGAGCAAAGAGAGGTGGAACACATCCTGGAGTCATTTGCCTCACCACTGAACCAAAAACCATTGCCTGGGATTAAACAAACAGGGAGAGGCTTCAGCTTGACCTCAATAGTATTCATAGGTACTTGTGTTAACTTAACACAAGTGTTTATAGATTTGGATATACAGGGTAAAGTACAATATGGACCTACTGACAGCATCTAAACCTAAAAATCTTTATGAATCTTTTGCATTTATTATTTTAAATAAACGCTGTTCTTTTAAACTTTCTATCCTTTAAAGAATCTTGAAAAAACTATCAGGATTCTACAAAAATATTAAGCAGCACAACTGTTGTCAACATCGATAATAAGAAATGTTTCTTGAGCAGCAAATTAGCAATTAATTAAAATATTTTTCTATATGTTATATCTCTGCAAACAAAATAATAAATTAAATATTCAAGTAATGTTTAAACAATGACAATTTCCATTGTTTTAACAAATAGTTCAGGCTTGTGAAAAGCGACGGAATCCTTTGAAACCAGAAATCACATATTGAAACTGTTATAAAAACATCACATTTGGTGACATATAAACGTTATGGCACTGAGCATATAACTGAATAAATACAATAAAATCAACCTATTACTTCCATGCATTCAATATTCCAGAACCCAAAAGGATTCAAAGACATTTGTACATCTCTGAAGTTGTTAATACATAAAACACTTATGTTTTACATGCTGCCAATACATTAAAAATAAATTTCAGTGTATGCAAACATGTACAGTCCAGGTGGAGGACCACTTCTGACCACCCCATCATGTCCCCTTCAATGTTTTAATAATATTTATAGTCAGTTAATTAATGGAGTTGATTGATTAACAAGTCAATTCAATTTTTGGTCAATTCTACTTATCAACTCACTAATCAACTTCTTTCATGGACCTCCAGTGGTCTCCAGTTTCAAAGCACTGGTACAGAGGGAGGTTTGAGATTGTTTTGGGAGTGGGGAAGATTGGAAGCTCTACCTCAGTCTTTATGATTGCATTTCAGGCAGTAAACAAGACTCACCCCACGGGGATACTGTGACATTGTAAAATGGAGCAAGGGCTTGTGCTGGGCAGTCACTTCAGAAACATTGTTTCTTAAAACTTTTATTGAACTATTTGCAGCTGCCTTGGCCTGCACATAAATCCATTATAGCAACATTTTAAACATCAGCATCTGCTTGCATCCTCTTCTAAATGTTAACTAGGCCTTAATGTGATTTTACACCCAGGCATAAGTTGCACGAGGGCCCAAAGGAAACAGATTAGAAGGGAGTCACCCCAGAGAGAAGGTTATCAGTACTGTGCACCAGAGAGACTGTCAGATAGCTAGCAATAAAACATCCTGATCCAGGAAAGACCATTGATGAACCCCATTGAGGGGCACCGTGGTGTGGCTCCTCTGAAAAAAAATAGGAGCACGCTTTACAACTTATCGTAGAACAAGTGCAAAATTATTATCTGCTAAGGAAAGTAACTATCAGTAGGTGGATGCTACATTTTGAAGGAAAACTTGGGCCCTGCAGGAGGGCTGTGGTTTGCGGCTATAGTGCAAACAGGCAGACGTTAACGGCTCAGCCACCGTTTTGACAGACAGACAGCAGCACGAGTCGCTACCCTCAAGGTATTCAACTAATCTTTCAAGTGGGAAATTAATCTTCCTTCTGCTCACAGAGAAGAATAAAGACCGTTTTGTCTGAACCTAGTGAAGTTTACCATAATCACAGCTTAACTAAAGTTGGGAAGATTGAGTTGTAGGAACTTGACAGTGCAGTGAACTTACTTTTTTTCTTCTTCTTTTTTTGTTGCCAAGAATACATTGAACCAAAAGATCTGACTAAGTGAGAAGTTTCATGTTGAAAGAATAGAGTTTAAAAATGAATAGTGTGGATAGTCTATTTCCACAGCATTCATATAATGTAACCACAGAACAAGACTATGAACTTACCACAGAGACAATCCCAGGGAGCAACCTAGGATCAAGTACCTTATTACGGTTTTGTGCCCTACTTAAATGGCGTACTTGAATTAAACCAGGAACCTCCC